ATTACAAAAATCTAAAGATTCCTGTCCTCCAGTGATCTCGAACTATTAATTCACAGCTTCATTTTCTCCCGTCTAGATTACTGTTACTCCCTGTATACGTGCCTTAGTCAAGCTTCATTAAGCCATTTACAGTTAGTACAAAATGCAGCCGCCAGACTTTGAACCAGAACCAGCCGTCGGTCCCACATTACTCCTGTTCTCACATCCCTTCATTGGCTTCCTGTAGAACTCTGAATCCACTATAAGATCTTACTGATTACATATAAGGCTCTTAAGTTACATTTCAGATCTCTTCGTTCCTTATTCCACTCCTCAACCACTTCGCTCCTCAAATCTCTTTTATCCATCCCCCGCTCTGACTGCAGGACTAAAGGAGACCTTTGCTGTTTTAGCCCCAACATTGTGGAATAGTCTTCCTCAATCACTCAGTTCACTGAATCTCCTTCTTGTCTGTTTTCTCATCTGTCATCTTTCTTTAATTTATCCTTTCCGTCTTGTTTATTTTCCGTATGTTTGTATTTATGTGGTCCCTATGTATGTTTAATTGGGTATGGTTATGCATGTACATATTTATATGTATATATGCATTTTAATGGACCCACATGTTGTTTGTGAAGCACTTTGTAACTGTGTTAAAAAAAGTGATACATAAATAAAGCTTTACTTCCTCCCTCCCTCCCTCCCTCCCTCCCTTCTTTCCTACATGTGATTACAATGGAGGAAAACATCAGGAATAATCTGCGGTGCTTCGGTCTACTTATTAAAAACACCTGACTGACACACAGGAAGCTGCTGTAAAGAGTGTGTTACCAATAATGTGGACACACACACACGCACACACACACACACACACACACACACACACACCTGTTTTCTGCCACATGTTGAATTTCTGCTTTAGAAAAGGCTCCAGTGTGAAACATTGTAGAGGATCTATTGTCAGAAATGGAATATATTGAGGGCCTTGCCTCTGATGGGAGTTGAGAGTATATTATACTACATTACATTATCCATTTTTTTTCTGTCTTCGGTCTAAACTACTTTCGTAAACCATGGCGGACTAAGAATTGGAGGCCCTTAGGCAGTCAAGAATGGTGGAACTACGGGCAAAACATGGGGATGCTTCAAATAATCAGCAGGAAGAGGAGGCCAAACAAAGAGAAACAGAAATGAGAAACACTATATTGGCTCAAGTCCTCGACCAGTCTGCCTTTGCAAGATTGAACAATCTTGCTTTGGTGAAGCCTGAGAAGGCTAATGCAGTTGAAAACTATCTCATTCAAATGGCTCGATTCGGAAAGTTAGGAGGAAAGATTTCAGAGTCGGGCTTGATCGAGATTCTAGAAAAAGTCAGTCAGCAAACGGACAAGAAGACGACTGTCACATTCAATAGGCGGAGGGTGCTGGACTCAGATGATGAGGATGATTAATAACTATGGACGGGAGCCCTGGAACGACCCAAGAAATCGGGAGAGGATATGCTTTACTGGGACTCTGATAGCATCTTTGACTAGCTGAATACCGATGCCACACTTGCTTCTGTGTGTCTCTGGAAACTACATACCAAGAGGGAAGAACAGCAAAGTGGAGCCGACCTTGTGATATGGGTGGTGGGGGGTAGAATACACTCAGGGCTCTATCTTGCACTCAGCGCAATTGACTTTGTACACTGGCGCTTGTATAATTCCTATTTTGCACTCGACGCACATTGGAATTTTCCCTCCACCGATGCACGTCCTTAAATTAGGGAATGAACTTGCGCTCCGGGGGGCGGTTCAGCGCAAAAAGAGGAGGCGTGTTCCGGCGCAAACGTTCCCTGGTGCTTTTTTGCTGTTTCAGAAAACAATTCCACCACAGACCAGGAAAAACCTAGTCTAAAGTCAGTGGCGCTTATTCAGATGCTGTTTTAAGGGCGCAGACTTGAGGGGATGCGCCTGAGAGGCAGCAGCAACATCACCACCCGGTCAAGACGGGCATTAATACTTTGCCGCATCCTGGACAGCTCCCGCTCCAGCATGTCAAACCCGGTTTGCTGCAGGAACAGGGGGGTCCTCCGGCGTGTGATTTATTGTATGGCTGTGTTACATTTATTTCATGTCAATAATGACACTTCTCGGTCTTTTACGGCCCTGACGAGAACGTCGGTCTCCTCGGCTGTGAACCGCTCCTGTCGTGCGCCTGGCCAATCCGCCGTTATAATAGCAATCCGCCATGGAACAAGCGCGCCTGCTGTTAAAGGGAATGTGAGATGACGCTCTGATTGGTTTATTGCACGTTACGCCCAAACCACACCTATGACTAATGTAGCTACTTCAGACCAACCCATTTTAGATTTGCGCCGGGCGCAAGAGTCATTTATCCCGCCGGCATAATAACAACAGCGCCCGAGATCCGCCCACAAAGCTACTTGCGTTTTGCACTGCTTGTGTTGTATCCCTGACAGCTCAAGGCACTGTTTGACTCCTCTACTCCCTCTCAGTAGTTATTCTACTACTACGTTTCTTTTTTTTCACCATGGTCGACTTCTGTTCCTTCAAACATAAGAAGCTAGATAAAATGCAAAACCTACACTGTTGATGTGTTATATCTAGACTGTTCTGGGAATACATTGTTCTCAATTCAAAGTCTGCATCACATTAGATGTTACATTCTTTTTTCTTCTTGCTGAAATCAAAAGTTTACATAAAAACAAAAAAAAGGCCTTAAATTCTAGTTCTAGTTTGTTTTTCTAGTTTACCATTTATGAAATTATTAGTTATTGTACGAATACGGTTTCCATTTGGGGTTTTTACACAATTTATGTTCCATTCGGTCCAGGCACACAGTTTACCACAGTTGTGACTATGCTCAACACAAGAACAGGAAACTTTGCAGCATCTACACACTTTCTTTCTTTATAGATGACTGCCATTTTTTTCTCAATCGCCAATCTCATATTTTGGATTTCATTTCAGAAACAAGAGTTAACAGATTCCCAAATGTATCCAACTACTTTTGAAATAAAAATGTTGAAGAAGGAAAAAAAAAAAAAAATGGAATACATTATTCACAGGGATGTGGTTTCTAGGACTCAAGATCTTCCTATTCAACCAGTCATTGACGTTTCTGATATTACTGTATTGATTATAATACTGTAGATAGCAACATAAAAAGCAGTAATGATTGTGAATGTGATAAAACAAGCAGCCAGGAGACTGAACATTTAGTTCATTTATTTCAACACAGCGTAACATCACACAGTCTGGTTTGACTTTTATCTCAAATATATTGATCCTGTATTGACAGTCAGACTGTGGACATATGACGGCCTTTAGCTCGTGTTTCTAGAGTTACGTGTTGTTACGAACACGTTAGGAATTGTTAAAATGTGATATTTCTTAAAGGGAGTTTGGTGCAGGGAGCTTTTAGTTGGATTCAAACTGCTGATATGGATCATTGTTAACGTTTAGTCTCCACTACAGAAACACTAGCTAACTGCTGAAGTCTAATAAGGTTATCTGACATACATACTTGATACTTTCACCTCCTCTACAAAGGGTTGAAACCAGTGAAGGAGGGTTGAAGTCATTCAATATCATTTTATTCTGTTGTTAAGCTGCCGTTTCTGTTCCTCTTTCAGTAAAAGGAGAAAGATAAAAAAGAGAATCATGGGAGAAAAGAAGAAGAGAAAGAGTGAGAAGAGAAGAATAAAGTAGGGTATGGAGGGTTGAAGAGAGAGAGGTCAGAGACTTCATCACTGCATCCTTTTATCATCAACATCATCATCATCATCCTCTCTGTGTCTTTAATGACTCCCGTCGGCTCCGTGTTACATCCATGTTTTATTATCTCACACAGTCCGAGGGGAAAAAGTCAACACGCTCCATCGTTGAAGGTTTGGAGATGGAAAGAAAGAAAGAAAGAAAGAATTGAACCTTACCTTCACAAGCGCAAAGGAAAAACTACGGTGGCCGTAAAACGTGCAAAAAGACACATCCCACCCATTTCACAATAAAATCCTCTCAGTGGCACCAATGAAATCCCCTTTCTGAAAGAGTCTTTATCACTTTACGGCAGAAATGATAAAAGAGTGGAAACCGTGTGGATGTTAACCAGAAGGAGTGTTTTAATCAGATTAGTTGAGACACAGACCTCTGTTTTATTTATTTATGTATTTGTTTGTTTGTCTTCAGGTCCAGCGGTTCGTTTCAGCAGCTTCGCCCCCGATGAGCCGACGCCCCCTCCTCTGATTGGCCAGCACACCGTGCAGGTGCTGCAAGACACCTTGTCCTACGGAGATGATGTCATCAAAACGCTGCTGGAGTCGAGGGCGGTGGCCCAGAATGACGTGTCCTGATTGGCTGAACCAAAAAAAGGAACCCGTCCAACATACTGATCACAGAATCATTTTGGACAAAACAAATTATCAAAACATTTCATGTGCGTTGATATTTGCAGTAATGAGACTTTTTAAGAGCATTTGGCTTTAAAGGTGCTGCTGAATACAGAAAGAGCTCCACTGTTTACAGCTGATATCAACCTATCAATCAGTGACGCACTGGGATCAGATCAAACCACTACCTGAGGAGTGAATTTTGTAGTGTGGACTCTACATTGAAGGACCACCCACTGACGTCCTGTAAGATAAAGGTAAAAGTCTGAGTGCATGTAGAGATCAGATCACAAGAGGTCACTGGAGACGTTGTGTGTTAAAACCAGCTGTAAACAGACTCTGAAGGTTTTACAGAACAAGACAATAATGAAAGCTTCTACTGAACTAATGGGAATAATATTTCTGAATATTGTCTTACTGTTTGTCACAGAGGATCTGAAAATAAGTGCAAATTAACAGGATATTTTAATATCTCTGACACATAAACATGAACCCCAGTGAAGCTATTTAACAGTATTTGTGTCGCCAATGGCAGACTGAATGAAAGCACTTTCCCGATTGATTAGTTATTGATTATTGCATATAAACTGTTTGTTTGAAGAGCTGGAGAATAAATGTTTTACTTACA